GATAGGCACCGATATAGACAACGACCAGGATCGCCGGCAGCAGGAGCGTGTAGCGGAGCGTTGCGATGCGGGCGAAATAGACGCTGAGCGTTATGCAGGCCAAAGTTCCGAAGATGTTGGCGACCATCATGCTCCACACCATCGAATAGGTGATATCGAGATTGGTGGTCATCATGTCGGGGCCCGGCACGATGCCGTGGACCAGCATGGCTCCGATGAGGATGGCCATGGCGGCGCTGCCCGGAACGCCGAACACAAGCGTGGTGCCAAGGCTCCCCGAATTGATGGCGTTGGCGGCGGCTTCGGGTGCGATCACGCCCCTGATATCGCCCTTGGTGAAGGTCTCGGATGCGCCCTTCTCGGTGCGCGCTGCATGGCCGTACGCCATCCAGTCGACCACCGCCCCGGAAAAGCCGGGAATGGCGCCGCAGACAACGCCCAGAATGCTCGAGCGGACCACAAGGAACCAGTGGGTCAGCGCATCGCGTATGCCCTGCGACCGTCCCTTCTTGGGGTCGAACTTGACGTTATCGGCCAGTGGTTTGCGCGCGATCGCCAATTCGCAAAGTTCGGGCAGCGCGAACAGCCCAAGCATGAGCGGCATGATCGGCACGCCGTCCCAGAGATAAACAAAGCTGCCCGTCCACCTGCGTTGGGCGGTCTGGGCGTCGATGCCGATCATTGAGATCAGGATGCCGAAACAGGCGATGGCGACGCCACGCAGGGGCGCGTTCCCCGAAAGGGCGGCAACCATGGCCAGGGCCAGCGTGGTAATGGCGAAAAGTTCCGGCGTCCCGATTGCCAGTACGAATGGCCGGATGAAGGGAATGGTGAACGCGAGCAGAAACGCGCCGAACACGCCGCCCATGAGGGACGACGTATAACCGGCGGCCAGCGCACGGGCCGCCTCCCCCTTCTTGGCCAGTTCGTGCCCGTCGAGAACAAGCGCTTGCGCACTCGATGTTCCGGGCACCCCGATCAATACCGCTGGCAAGGTGTCGGAGGTGGTGGTCACTGCCTGCATGCCCAACAGCATGCCAAGCGCCGCAATGGGGTCCATTGTATAGGTAAACGGGATCAGCAGGGCGAAGCCGGTGAGCCCGCCAATTCCGGGAATGAGCCCGATGACGAGCCCCACGGCGACGCCGAAGACCATGAAGATCATGCGCTCTGGTTGGAAGACGAGCATCAGGGCACTCCCTGCTGCGTCGATCACGCTAAAATCCAGCGCCTCCATGATTAAACTCCAGTCGTGTAGCTATTGGTCAGTTGATTGCTGCTTCGCGTATGTCCGGTCTTCGCCCGGCTGGAAGGGTCAGGTCATCTCCAGCGCCTCGAGGTCGTAGCCTGCAGCTCTCCGGACAACGCGTCCGATCCCGGGCATCCCCCAGTGATATCCGGTGCATATGACGCCGTCCGATGCGGCCCAGTCCAACATCTGCTGCCGGGTGGCGGCGGCCTTTTGGGGGTCGTCATCGGCGGCGAGATGCCATTGCGGGTTGTGCATGTTGAAGGGCGGGATATTGGTGACATCGCCCGTCACGCATATCTGGGCCGTGCCCGAACTCAGCAGCACGCTGGTGTGACCGGCCGAATGCCCATGGCTGGCGATCGCCGTCAGCCCGGACAGAATCTCGGCATCGCTCTCATAGCGAACGATATTGGACCATTGGGGCAGCGTTCGCCGGATCCGGTCGGCCAACGCCTGGCGCTGGCGGGGAATGGCGTCCGAGCGCGTCCAGAAATCGTACTCGGCAGCCGGAACGTAAATCGGCAGATCGGGATAGACCTGCCCGTCATTCGCGGTCATCAACCCGAAGATGTGGTCGGGGTGAAAATGGGTCACTACGATTGCCGACAAACCACTCGGGTCCAGGCCGGCCGCCTTCATGTTGGCGAGCAGCTGTCCGCTGTTGGGCCGCCCATGCTCGCCCAGCCCCGCATCGAACATGATGAGCGATCCGCCGATGCGGGCAATGGTAACGGTGTAGGAATTGGGGATCCGGCCCGGCGGAAATCCGTTCGCCTGAAGGACCGCCTCGACCGTTTCCGCCGGTACATTGGCAAAGAACGCGGCGTCGAGCTCGCGTGACACCGAGCCCTCAAATATCTGGAAGACCTCGATATCCCCGAAGGCAAACCTGGCGAAAGCCTCGCCTTGGCGGTTCAGTGGTCCCTGCTTTGGCGATCCGGAAGTCATCGGCTCGCCCCCTGGGCCAGATCGCCCTGGGCGGTCATTTCCGCTTCGGCGCCGAACAGCAGCCCTTCCATGACCTTGGGCATGGTGCGTTCGATATCGCCGACCGGCAGGCCGTGCGTAGGCGCAAGCAGGCGGACGTCGAGTGCATCGACCACGCGCTCGAACTCCTCGATATAGACATTCATGTCGGTGAACTTGGTCCAGAACAGCGCCCGCTCGGCATAGACCGCCGACACGTCCTTGAGGTCGAGATCCTGGGCTTCTTCGGCCAACAGGCCGCAATGGCCCTGTTCATGGAAATGGCTGTAGGCCAGTCCGTCGCCGGGAAACAGCACCCGCTCACGCTCGTCGAACAACCACAGCGTCGTCCGCAGGTCGCGGATGACAGAGTCCAGCGTGGTGAGCCGGCGATTGCCGAGGTCGAGGCTGTCGCCGGCCACCATGGGGCGCAGGCGATCGGCAAATTGGGGAAAGGCAAGGTGATAGTCGCTGACGTCGCCATGCAGGTTCATGTCGGGATAGAGCTGGAGAAGGCGGCCCAGGCTCCCGGCATGGGGTGTTTCCTGATGAGTGAGGAAAAGATGCTTGAGCGGGGGCCGCTGGCCACCGTCAAGCAGGCTGCGCAGATGGGCGTGGACGACGGCGAAATCCTTGGGCGCGCCGGTTTCGATGAGACACGAAGCATCGTTGCCGCAAACCACAAACGCAGAATTGTACCCGTGATAAACCTTGCCGCGCACCCGCTGGACCTGGCAATCGCCGATCCAGAATACGCCTGGCGCCAGTTCTCGTGGCAGGCCACTCATGGCCGCGCCTCCTTTGAAGGGTAGTATTGCTTGTCGTGCGGAATATAGACGGGCGGCGTTTGCGATCTGTCGAGCTGGCGCAGCACCGTATCGAGCATCCGATAGTGTCGTTCGACGGTTTGCCTGCCGCGCAACAGCTTTCCATAACCCGGAGCGATGTTCTCGATATCATGGGCTTCAAATATCGCGTCGATGCCGCGGCGGAGTTCGTCCGTCCGCGCCCCCTCCAGCCACCAGTAGCGGGTACTCAGCAGGAACCGACGGACGTCGTCCTCGGTCGTTTCGTCGGCACTGGGATCGATGCTCCATTGCGGCTCGATGCTCTCGCTCCAGGAGTGGGCGAACATGTCCGATGTGAACAGGGTCTTGCTCGCCGGGTCGTAAACCCAGCGGGTATTGATGAGGCGCAACGGAGACTGGTTGAACTTGACCGGCCGCTTGCTTCTGCCGATCTCGACCCATTCGTTGCCGGTGATCAGCTCAATGGGAAACCGCTCGGCATTCGCCTCGGCTTCCTCTTGGCTCGTCGATTCAAAATCGAGGGCGGCGGCGGCGTTCTTGATGGTGGCGAACAGTCTCTTGACGGGAAAGCGCCGGGCAATCGGCAGCGCATTGCCGACCGAGAGGAAGTCATTGAGACGAAGCACCATTATGGAAAGCGAAGTGTCCGGGCCGATCAGCGAACCAATCTGGCTCAGCATCTGGTCCTTGTGGATGCCAAACCCCGTATCGAGCAGCAGCGCCTCGTCGTCCTCCACCAGCAGGTAGCAATTGCATGATGCGTAGCCGCGGGCCTGGCTCGGATAGTGCCCCACCCTGCCGTCGAGCGCGATGACGTTGTGGAGCGCATATGTGCTGCCGGCAGCAAGCTCGGTGAGGCTGGATGAAGCGTTCATGGATCAGCTCCTGCTTCTGATGGTCCCGGATGCCGTGGCCCGATTGCCGCCGCGCGCCAAATGGGAGGAAGACGCGCGGCAGCGAACCCGATCGTTACGACGGCGGGTTGATCAGGGTGCGGACAACCGCGAGGGTTTCATCGGTTGCTTCGTAGATGCGGCCCACCACTTCCTCGACCTCTTCACCGGTGATCGGCTTGGGGTCGGCTCCCGAAGTATTGGCCACGGCAAGATATTCGGGGTCGGTGGCCGCATCAATGAAGGCCTGGCGCAGTGCGGCAAGGCGATCTTCAGGGATGCCCGGGGGCGCCGCGAAGGGCTGACCTGCTTCCATGGGCAGAAGAAAGAATTCCGCAACCGCCCGTTTCGCCGGATCGTCGGTGAATTCGAGGATGTTGGGCGCATCGGGGAAGCGCGGATCGGGCTCCATCGCCGTTTGCAGCAGCACCTGGACCTGGCCGTCTTCGAGCCAGGGCTTTTCGATGCCGAACCCCATGAGATAGTCGATAGCAATCATGCGGCCATCGACTTCGCCGCGTTCGATCGCAAGGCTGATCGCCGGGGACCCGTCATAGCCGGGAATGATGTCGAACTGGGTATCGAAAAATTCGTTCATCATCGCCGGCAGGACCCGGTTCTCATTTGCATAGGAGGTCGCACCGAGCTTGATCGGCGTGCTGAAGATGTCCTCGGGTACCTGCGCCTCGATATCGCTGCGCACCAGCAGGGCGTATGCCTCCTTGTTGAGACTGCCGATCCAGTTGACCTCACGCGGATCGAATTCGACATCGACCTCTGAAACCAGCTGCAGGTAAAGGTTATTGCGCTGCAGGAACGTGATGAGGCTCCCATCCCGCGGCGCAGCCGCCTGCATATGGATGGCCGCGGTCATACCGCTGGCGCCGGGCATGTTGGTGATGATGATGTCGGGATTGCCCGGCATGTGCTTTTGCAGGAATGGGGCAAACTGGCGGACATAGGTATCGATACCGCCACCGCCAGCGGCGCTGGCGACGATCGTCAGGGGATTGTTGCTGTAGAATTCCTCGACGGTCTGGGCGTTGGCGATGGGCATGCCGACCAGCGACAACGCAAGTCCGGCGCCGACGATCTCTAGCATTTTGCGGTACATGTTCTACTCCTCCTCATTGTTGACTGTCCTCGCCTTACGCGACAAGGACAGGCGCTATCGCCGGGCACCCGAAAGTGCCCGGCTGAGCCGGCGCGAGATCAGGACTGGGGGTTGACCAGCGGCCGGACTTTTTCGAGCACGTCGTCGGACGCAGAGTAGATCTCCTCCACGATCTCCTGCACGGCTTCACCCGAAATCGGTGTCGGCGTATTTGCGACCTGTTCCATATGCGCGATGTATTCAGGGTCATTCGCCGCATCCATGAAGGCCTGGCGGAGCGCAGCAAGGCGGTCTTCGGGGATGCCGGCCGGAGCGGCAAACGGACGTCCTGCTTCCATCGGGGCCAGGACGAACCTTGCCAGGGCCTCGATCTCGGGGTCCTCGATGTAATCGAACAGATTTGGCGCGTCCGGGAAGTGTTCGCTTGAATTGACCGCCGTCTGCAGAACCACTTCGATGGTGCCGTCTTCGAGGAACGGTGCCTCGTTGCCATAACCGATGAGGTTGTCGACGGGCAGCATGCGGCCGTCGATTTCGCCACGTTCGAGGGCCAGCGTCATGGCGGCAGCCCCTTCATAGCCCGTGATGATCTCGAACTGGGTTCCCAGATACTCGTTCATCATCGCGGGGAGAACGCGGTTTTCGTTGGCAAACGAGGTGGCGCCCATGCGCACTGTCGTATCGAAGAGGTCGTCGGCGGAGTCGATACCGGCCCGCGTCATGATGGCGACCGTGTAGATTTCCTTGGTCAGGCTGCCCAGCCAGTTGGCTTCGAGCGGCTCGAAATCGAGCGGAACGTCGGAGACCAGCGGGAAATAGAGATTGTTGCGCAGCAACATCGCCACTTCCGTACCGTCCTTGGGAGCGGCCGACATCATCTGGATGGCCGCCGACATACCGCTGGCGCCAGGCAGGTTGCGCACGATGATGTCAGGATTGCCCGGAATGTGCTTTTGCCAGAACGGCACGAATTGCCGGGCGTAAAAGTCCGCGCCCCCGCCTGCAGCGGCGCCCACCACCAGCGTAAGGTCGTTGTTGCTGTAGAACTCCTCGACACTCTGTTCCTGGGCGATGGCGCCCGGCGCGACAGCGAGCGCCATAAGGCCGCACGCGATTGCCGATAGGTACTTGGTGGTCATTCTCTCCTCCTGTGATCGGAATGATCTGTTTCAAACCGGAAAAGTCCCTGCCGTTTGCCGGCTATTGTTGCTGGTTCTCTTCCGGTTTTCCGGCGCCCGGGGTTGGTGTCGTCCTCTCCGACACAAACCTTTCGTTCGCTCTGCCTTTGACCGTAGCGCTCGCCATTTCACGACATAAGATGCATATTGTTCGCAAAACTCGTGAACTTTCTTCACAAATCAAATGGCCCAGCCTACGGTCTCCGGGCGGCTGCTCCCGGCACGATTGTCCCCCCAAAAAAAACGGGTCGCCCGGCGTACCGAACGACCCCTGACGTCAAATCAGCTTGCGCTCCGTGGTGCTGAGCAGCTCAAGCCCGTCCTCCTTGATGAGAATGTTGTCCTCGAACCGGATGGAATAGGTTTCGGTGCGAACCGACGGCTGGAACGAGATCACCATTCCGGGTTCGAAAATGGTTTCGCGGTGCGTGGGATGCGGGAAATCGTGGAACGGGCCCAGCCCGACCCCATGGATGGCAAATTGCTGGCACGGCATGACGGCCTTGTTGGCCGGATACCCCCGGTCGATCATTGCCTGGCGGATATGGTCGAAGACAGTACCGAACTCCATGCCTGGCTTGAGATAGTCCATGAATATGTCGTGTATGTCGTAGAGATCGTTGGCGATCTTGCGATACTCATCTTTGGGTTCACCGATGCACCACGTGCGGGCGATGTCGAAGCCATAACCGTGATAGAGCGCGCCCAGATCGATAGTGACGAGTTCGCCTTCCTCGATCTTTTTCCACTCGGATGCGAAGGCACGGTAGTTGGCGGTGCGGATACCTGCCTGGCACATGGTCTCGACCTCGCGCATGGCACCGAGACGCTTCATCTCGATTTCCATGGCGAACTGGACTTCCATCTCTGTCACGCCCGGCTGGGCCGTCTTGATGGCAACGTCGATGGCCGAATGGCCGATCTCGACAGCCTTGCGGATCAAGGCAATCTCGGCAGGCTCCTTGACCGAGCGTGCAATGAACAGAAGGTCGCCGGCCGGTTTGAGCTTGGCATCGGGCAATGCGGCGACAAGGCTGTGATAGGTCTTGGCGGTGCAGGTGGTTTCTTCGAACCCGATATTCCCCTTCGAGAGCCCCTTTTCGGCCAGAACCTTGGCGACACCGTCGGCGGGGCTCTTGGCAAAACCGGTGTCGTTGACGCGCACGTCCTTGATCCAGGTGCCCTCGCGGATGGCATTCATGGTGATGAAGGCGCTAAGGAACACCGGGTCATGATCCTTGAACAGGATCAGGGGCGCTTCTGTGATGTGGGTATGGGAAAGCGGATACCAGGGCATATGCTGATAGTGGCCGCCATAGTAATACTGATTGGTCCAGTTGTGGACGATGAACGCGTCGAGTTCGTTCTCCTCCATCACCTTGCGGAGCCGGTTGAGGCGCCCCTCGTAGTCGAACGTGGTTCCGAAAATGTTCATTGCGCTATACCTTTCTCGCCGTGGCGATCCTCACGTGCGATCGTGGGCCGGTGCGAACCGCCAACGATGGCCTTCCTGCAAGGGCGCAGGACCGGATCTGGATCAGGTTGGGGTTGAGAGGCGTTCCCGGGGCCCAAGACGCTTTTCGGCGCGGCCCCTGCTTCCTCCCCCTGCTTCCGTGCGATCCGGAACCTATCGAAGGGACCTGCTGTCATTAAGCAGGAAAAAGGTCACTTGATCTGTGAAGAAAATTCCGAAGAAAAGCTTCCGGCTCGTCGTATTCTCCAATGAACCCATGATTGTCCGGCCGGCAGTGTAGCCAGCGGGATGGGGCCCCGAACCTAAGTTTGGTGCCGCGCCTGATAAGATTTTCCGCGAGACGGCGGCAGCGGTGGTCTATTGCGCGGTGATTTCGACGAGGTAGTCGACAACGGCGCGCACCCGCGCCGGGAGATGGCGACCGGCCGGAAAGATCACCGAAACCGGCGGGCCTTCGGTCTGGTACTCCTCGAGCACCGGGATCAGCCGACCCGACTGCAGATCGTCCTTGAGAGCCCACCAGCTTGAATGGACGATGCCCAGGCCCTTGACCGCAGCCTCCCGGAGAGCGTCACCATTATAGACCGCCAGATTGCCCGCGATGCGCACGCGTTGGCGCCCCTCCTGCTCGCTCTTGAACGTCCACTCGAACCCGAAGCGTCCGTGGATGCAATTGTGGCGCAGCAGATCCTCGGGCTTTTTGGGCGTGCCGTGACGTTCGAGATAGCTCGGCGCGGCCGCGGTGATAACCGGTCCCTGAGTCAAAAGCCTCCGAATGGTGCTCGAATCCTCAAGCTGGCCGGTGTGCACGCCCAGGTCGAAGCCGGATTCGATAAGGTCTGTCGGGCGATCGCTGAAATGCACCTGAAGGTTCACATCGGGGTAGCGCTCGAAAAACTCTCCCAGCGCTGGCACCAGGGACAGGCGCCCGAACAAATTTGGCACCACGATGCGCACGGTGCCCTGCACTGTCTTGTTAGCCGCATGGATGCGCAGTTCGGCGTCGGCAAGATCCTGCAGGATGCTCTGGGCCCTTTCGAACAGTTCCTGCCCCTGTTCGGTCAGCACCAGTTGCCGGGTCGTCCGGTTGAACAGCCTGACGCGCAGTTCGTCTTCGAGCCGGCTGATGGTCTTTGTGACCGTGGAGGCTGACGTCCCGAGCTTTTTGGCCGCGGCGGTAAAACTGCCCTG